TTAACAGTTAATATCTCTTCAGCAGAAGGATTAGGGAGAGCCGAAGGGCAAGAGGAAGAGGCAGGGAAGGATCTTTCCAAAGGAGCAGCCCCGTCATGTTGTCTGCATTGTAATTGTTTAACCTGGTGTTTGTATTTAGGTGGAGTTTCGGAGATTAGAGAGGACCGGGGCCAACAGGGAACATCATGTCAGAGAGGGTCCTGGTGTGACCTGCAGGCACCAACCGTCTCCGAGCTTCTCCCTCTGATCTGCTGCACTCGGGCAGAAATAAGACCCTGTTTGATTCATTTCAACTTTTGGCTGTATTTAGGAGAAAGTTTGTGGCTCTTAAACACACCAATGAATTACTCTGATTTTTTAAATTTCTTAAACAGAAAGTTCTTCTTAAAATAATTTTTTATTTCTAAAAAATCTTGAGTTCTCCATGATGTTTGTTTTGAGCCAACACAGGTTTCCTCCCAAAGGCTCCTCTCATCTTTCAAGCCTTTTCTCCCAGTAGCAAGGGCTCTGTTGCTTGAGGAGCCCCTCCCCCACAGCAGCCTTCAAGGCTGTTTGGAGACTTTAGTGACTTGAAGCCCAGCTGGAGCCACCATCCTGTCTGAGGCACATCCCGGAGTGGAGCCTGATGCCTGCTGTTACATTTTCACAAGTAACAGGGTGGGAATGCTGTGGCTGATGAGCACCTGTGTGGAGGTGGAAGAGAATGACCAGGAAGGAAGCAGGAAGCCTGAACAGAGACAGGAAGACCACCAGCAGTTTACAGCAACAGAAGATTATTGACTGTTTTCCATTGTCTTGAAAGTCTAGCATAAAGGGACCATAAATTCCAGGATCTGAGACTTTTGGACTTTTTTTTTCTTTTGTACTAAGGATTGAACCCAGAGCCTTTCACTGTGTTAATCTCCAGCCCTTTTTATTTATTCTTTTACCTTGAGAAAGGCTGTCATTAAGTTGCCCAGGCTGGACTCAAACTCATGATCCTCCTGTCTCAGCCTCCCAAAGTGCTAGGATTACAGAAGATTTCTGTATTTTTAAGTGAGCCTGTCTAAATTTTCAAAGTGTGCTTTCAAAAGAGATCCATATTTTCTGAAACAAGCCATGGGTGAGGACAGCAGTGTCACCCAGGACAGGTGTGGACATGTCATTAAGATGCAGGCCTCCCTGCTAGTAGTCAGGGACAGGAGTTAATGGGCTGGCTGAGAGGTTTCTGAGCCACATTTTCTGGAAGGGTGAGCACTTCTTATTCATGAGTAATTTAACTCTGTCCTTTAAGGTAGTCCTCTGGAGGAATCCCTCTGTCCCCTTCCCACATCCCGGACTCCATCCCTTCAGTACAGAGGGACTGGCCTCTGTCTTCCCCCACTGCAGACAGCTCCACTCTGAAGAGCACACAGGAGGAAAGAGGGTTTGGTGTCTTTTGCTCCTCTCTGCAAGATGTGGGAGCCATGGGGGTACTCAGGGTCTGGTGCTTCCTGCACAGCATCTTCCCAGGGTCAGAGGCCTGCTGGTTTAGTCCTGCTGCTTCTGTGGGTGCCTAAGAGGTGTGGTCAAGGCCCAGCACCAACCACGCCAGGCCAGGTTCCCCTTGGAGGGTATCTGAGAGCTTGATAATCAGGCTTCCCAAACTTCGGGGTTTTGGGCTGGGTACTGAGGACCCCAAAGGCCACTGCATTGAAGAAGCATGTCCTGCAGCAGGGGCAAGGAGAGCAGTCTGCATACTGTGGCTTAAAGCGGAGAACCACAGGTATCCCAAGGCAGGCAGTCAAGGTGAGGGAAAAGGGAAACCTGGCCGAACCAGTCAGTCTGAGGATCAGGGAAGCTGCTGCCCACCAGCCACCCAGGAGATGGGGAGGACACATGGGTGGCAGTCTGGGTGAAGGGCTCAACCTGATGAGTGCGTGTGGTGCCAGTGAGCAGGGGGCATAGCCTGCAGAATAGTGAGACCAGTGATGGGAGCTGCCCTGAGGTGTTCACGTCCACAGAAGATGCCATGGAAGTGGTAAGCAGCCTCAGGGAAAGGGTGTCCTGGGCAGGAGGGTCAGGGCTCAGGATTTCTGCCCAGCCAGAAGAACTCAGTCTGGGGCCTGAAGCAGCAGCCTCGAGCAGCTAGCATGTGTACAGGTGTGTGTATGCCTGTGTATGTGTGTACGCATGTGTGTTCGGGTCCTTCTTATGTCCTGGAGTGTAGGGCACATGTTCAGTTGGTTGTGTGACAGGTTGGTACAGGATAGCGCCAGGTTCTAGGTGGGTCAGACTTCCTTTTCTAGGCCAGTGTCCCGCCCGATGACAGGGCAACTTGGTGAGTCATCTGTCTGGTCCTGTACTGGGAGGTTCCAGCACCATGTCCTGCCAGGGCCATATCCTAGAGTAGCCAGAATACTTTGGAAATGGCATCTTCAGGAAGAAAACCTTGATCTGAGGATCTTTGAGTGCCATGGGGTCACTGGAGGTCAGAGCCTTTGACTAGCAGTTTCAAAGTCACGGAGCCCAGGCTTATGCTCTCCCTGGCTGGCCCCTAGAAGGTGAAGTAGCATGTGGCTTGGTCCATTCCTGAGGTGGGAAAGAGAGTCTTGGGGTTCCCTAACCTTCTAGTGTCAGAATGACTGCAGTAAAGTGTATCTGGGCTCCAGCCACTTCTATGATGTTTAAAGCCAGTACTGTACTGGGTGACACCGGGAGGCCATGGTGTTATTAGTCTCTAGTCCTTGTATTAAATCCTAGAGGAGATAGGTGTATTTGGGTTTGCTGAGTCAGAATCTTGTGCCATGGTGGTTGTATTAGGATCTGATACTGCAGAAGAATCTTGGTGAACAAGGAGCCATCGATGAGGAGGAACCTGGATGCAGGAAGGAGCACAGTTTTGTGTGTGCAGCACACCTGATGCTGAGGGTCCCAAAGAATGCAGGGCTGGGAGGTGGTGACTATGTGACACCACCTGTCTGCTTGCAAAGGCGTGGCTGGTTCTGAGGGTCTCATTGCTGGAGCCTGAAGGAGAACATCTCAGGCCTTTCCCTCTTCGTGTCCAGTTATACTTTGCCCCTCACTGGGGGAGTTTGCTGGTTGATTTTCATCCTGATCACTTCACCCCAGTGTCTGCTGCTGAAAGTGGCTCTAGGGGTCCTTTCTTGCATACATTGGCTGCTTTTCCACCTCAGTGTGGAGGGGGCAGGATGGGAGGAAGGGTACATGCAGTGCTGTTGCCCTGTGCTTTGTTCAAGGTGACAGGCTGCAAAGATGCTGGTTCTCAGTGGGCCTGCACATCAGAATCATCTGGATGATGTTCAAAATGATGTCAGAGCCCTCCTTTCTTATCATACATACCTGTGTGCCCAAGCCCAAACTGTAGTCAGGAAAATGTATCTGACCTTGATGGGCCTGCACAAACTGCTTACCTGACTGAGGTGTGCTGTGGAGAGCAGGACACCATTAAGCTTAGTCCACCTCCCAGAATATCCCGGGAAACTGTCTCTGTGGGTGTTGGTCATTCGTGCAGGACAGAGAAGCCACATCTACATAGGGTCACAGGCTGAATGGACCAGTTCCAGTCCCTCATTTTAGAGGCCAGTTGAGGGTGTGGACTTCAGCAAGGTCATTGAGAAAGGCAAAGCTGGCCCTGGAGACCATGCCCTGACTTGTGGCCAAGGTCTCTTCCTGAGAAAGGCTACTTTCCAGTAGCGCGAGGAGTGTCCAGGGTAACAGTAGGACCCACTTGTATCGAGGAGGTCTCCCTTGAGTGCTGGGAAGACAGTTCTGATTCTGTGATCTGTCTAGACTGCTAAGGAGCCAGCCAGGGTTCAAGGGTATAAAGACTCAGCTATACTTGAACACCCAGTCTTATCCCAAGATGGACTTTTTGCCAGCCTTAGCTTCCTTTTGTAAAAATCAAATTGTCTTTCATGGGCAGTCCGGCTAAGGAGCCATCTCAGCAGCTATAGAGACCATGGATCCCATGGCCCTGTATGTGCATGCATGCGGACGTACATGCCCTTTTGTCATTAGCCTCTCAGTGCAGGAAGCATCTCAGTACTGTTTGTTAACACGGACTGACTTATGTAATCCTACCAGTAGCCCTGTAAGAGAAGTTACTCTGTATCAGCCATGGCACGGAGTAAGGAAGGACCTGGGGTTGAGGTGGGGCAGGAAGCAGGTCTCCTTCATCTTGTCACACAGATCAGGGCCTGCAGAGACTGTTGGAAGCACAGCCACACCATGTGCTGAGCTGGTGAGTCAGAATCCACAAGCTGAATGGGATCTCAGTGATTCTCATGCACATGAAAGGTTAAGACACACTGGACTCCCTGAGTCTCTGGGCAGGTTAAGCCTTCTCTCTTTGGGACTGAGTGTGCCCTTTTCCCTGGGATGGGTGTGGGGAAGCGGGGAATTTGAAAAGAGACAAGTTTGTGCCTTTTGTAAGTGTTCCTTGTTCTGTCACCACTTGCTTTTGTGAAAGTTTCCTAGAAATGTGGGGCCATGTCTTACTGTCCTCGTGGACTTCTTCAGAGTCACTCATTTGCTTTGGGGAGGGACCTGCCATCACTGGGATGACTGCCCTGCTCTGGGAGAGGAGCCTGCTCTCTGACATTTCTCCATAAGCCAGGCTCAGCTGGTCATAGGTGGGAGAGGGAGGTGGCACCATGTTCCCTGACTGGTAAGCTGCTGTTGCAAGCAGGGGTCATCTGTTGCCCCAGAGAATGAGCATGCATTGCTCGATCCTAACATAATGGTAGAGAAAGCAGATTGGTCATCTCTAGGTCTGATCCTGGGGAGAGGAAAGGATACACCTGTGTCTTGGTGGCCACAGGGCAGGTAGCTGGGACCACAAAATGTGCAAGAGCATCGGAGCAGACTCATGCAGGTGTTACCCTTCCTGGACACAGGTGACTGATGATGTTGTACACTGCTCACTGCGCAGGCAGACTGCCGGGTGTTGGCTGGGTGTTGGAGTAAAACTAGACTCCAGTGCTGATTTCTTGTTTTTATCTCTTCACTCTTCCCTTAAGGTTGGCCTCCGCCAGCTGGATATGTCCTTGCTCTGCCAGCTGTACAGCCTCTACGAGTCCATCCAGGAGTACAAGGGGGCATGGCAGGCTGCTTCCAGCCCTGACTGCCCTTATGCACTGGAGAATGGCTTCTTTGATGAAGAGGAGCAGGAGGACTTCCGGGAGCAAGCCTCCCTCCATGAAGGCAGGGCCCGAGGTCCTCCTGGAGATCTGCCGCTGCCTGTCTCCTCCCTCTCCAGCAGCAACTGGATTCTGGAGTCCATCTAGGGCCTTGGGGTGGCTGGGGTTAGAATGTGGGTTTGAAGCTAATGCTGTCAGCATCAGCTTCGTCTCCTGCAGGAAAGTACTTTGCCCTCTCAGTGGACAGTCCATGGCATCTGGGATGGATGCCACCAGTTTATCTTGTGGGTAGGGAGTTTGCTGACATACCGTGGCAGCTGGGTGCTGCAGTATCTGCTTGGGTGACCAAGAGGTACTGAGAATGTCCTTGGCTCTCTTGTGTGAGGCACACCTACTAGAGATTCACAGGCTGTAACAAGGGGTGCAGTAGGAGGCCAACTGTGCAGTCTGTGAGGTGACTTTTAGCCGGTCCCTTCCTCATCGAGGGTAGGTTCACATCCTCTTTGTGTTAGTGTCACTGTCTCCTCCTTCAGTGTGGCCTACAGCTTCCCTTACTGCTTAATGAGTTTTTCAGCCTTTGTCCAACCTTATTTATTTGTGAACTGTATCCCTAACTGTCCAGGTGACTTGCAAAATCTTTCTACTGAAAAAGCAAACACTGCCTCCACACCAGTAAGCTGCCTTATCTCAGCCTATTTGCTGCCCCTTCATCAGGTAGAGGAGTAAGGGAGATAATAGGGAGAGGTCTGTTGAGTGGGGAAAACCCAAACTGGAACAAGCTAATGTTTTCTATCATTCACTGTAAGATGGCAGATGTTTGTTTCCAAAGACTCTGAATGTAGACTAGTATGTTAGAAAGCAAACCACACGCTCCACTCAAAACAGTGATTACGTTATGCTTTAATTTATTAAAACACTTCATGAGAACTTTATACTTTGTAGATTAAACTTGTGGATAAAAATGATAAACTCTCTGTTGTCGTGCATTATTTTGTTCTCAATTCAGAATCATCAGCTTTCATAAACTGAATGCGAGTCCAAACACATACTGAAAGAAAACTAATGTGGGGTTTTCCCCCTATCACATGAATCTGAAAGTAGTTTTGTTCCTCTGCTTGGCTTGGGTGATCATGTATAAGTAGCGGACCAGCACTAACAGCCAGGTTGCACTGCTGTTCTGTCTCAGGAGACTCCAGGCCTCTTCTCAACGCTCAGCGTGATAACTGCTCGCCAGCACTTCCTTCAGGCAAGACGGGAGAAGTACAACACCATGAGCCAAGTGTTTGGTTGGTCAGTATCAGGTTCGGAGATGAGGGGGAGCACTCTTGTTAGTTCCTCTGTGGATGGTAGTTACAGTGAAAGGTGCTGTAAGTCTCCTTCAGGCTGTAATATAATTGTTCAGCAGGGACAAGAAATTGAAAGTACTCAGTGAGGTCACCTGCAGGTCCTTGATTCTTTGAGGCCCTGGTTGAGCAGTGAACCTCAGGTCTGCTGTTTTCTACCCTGACCACATGAAGGTCCCTTGGAGCTTTTAGAAAACTACTGATGTCTGGACTTCAGCACTTTTCCCCCAAAGTCCACATTGAATTAAGTGACAACTAGGCATCTGCTTGGTGCTAGGAGGTAGAGCTTGTCTCTTGCTGCTGGAGAGGGAGCCCAGGCCTGCCCGGCAGGCAGGAGACATGTTCTAGTACACAGAAGCATACCTCATGGTACACTCATTTGCTGTAAATGGACCCCTCTCATCTATATACCACCCTTGCTTCCAAAACTAAGGCTGCTTTATAAAAATTCACACAACATGCAATTTTAAGAAATGTGGGTTTAGAAGTCTGTACAAAAAGGACAAGTAAGACAAAGCCAGGTGTAAACTGGCACATGCAGCCATGCTATGAGAAAGATACATAATCCTGTTTATTTGATAACATAGGAGGAGGAGTCCGACCAGGATTTCAAATCACAGCCCAAACATGGAAAGTTAAGTGCTCAGCTTTAGAGCAGATGCATGTGGTGTTTCCCTGTCAAGTATGTGCTCAAGGCGACTGGGCACATAGGAAGAGTAGCACACTTTAAATGCTGTAAGACCTGCCTCCTGACCAGTACAGACCTGGCCATGGAGTTTGATGTCTGCCTCTCTGTCCTTGATGAGGTCATAGGTATGCGGCTCCACTTGACACAAGAGTCCTGTGCAAATTTGGGAAGGAGTGTTGGCGGGCAGAACTTCTAGCCAGATGATCTTGTGGGAGGGCAAAAAGGGCCCCTCAAAGATGTCTCGTCCAAAAAATACTCGCTGGATCTTGTAACTAGGACTTTATTTGGTAAAAAGACCTTTGCAGAAGTGATTAATGATCTTGACATGGGGAGAGTTCTGGATTATACAGGTGGCCACAGCTGCTCTCAGTGGTATCCTTATAAGAGAGGGACAAAGATAAGTGACACACTGAAGGAGGCAGTGTGAAGATGGAAGAAGAACTGGAGGGATGCAGGGGTGACAGCAACCACTGCAACCAGAAGACAGCAGGTGCAATTCCCTGGAGCCTTCCATGGAGTATGGCCCTGCTGACACCTAATGAAACTGATTTTATACTTCTTGGCTCCAAAGTCAATATAGTGGCCTCAATTAGGTTCCTGGAACCTGTGTTCTTTCCCCCTTGCCTCTTTGCCTGTTATGACAGCCATCACTGGTCAACTTACCAATCCAGCACTGCCATCCTAAACCTTTCAACTACTCAAACCTTTACCAAAGGGCTCCTGAGTCTGCTTCAGTTGACAAGCATTTTCTGCGTCATGATTGGGGATTAAATAAATTAATAATTGTAAAATAGTGCCTGGCACAAAGTAAATAGTATATGTAAATATTTATTAAAGAGGAATAAATAAGTAGAATCCTGTTTTGGGCACTGAGGAACTAGCTTTGGTAACTTTCCCCTTGGCACTTCAGAAGCCAGAGAATATTTTAGACTTAGTCTTGACTTACAACCTTTCCCTTCAGAGTATGTTCCCCATTTCATAATGAAAGGTCATAGTTTGATGCCAGAAAGGCACATTACCACTTTTGAAGGTCACAGGTGTTCTGCTGAAGAAAGAATACAGTGAATCGCTTACTTCCTTCTATAGCTTCTTCTCTGGACTAATATTTAGATCTGGTTCTAGTAATTGGGCTCTCCATTTAACTAAAACCTTTTTAAACCTATTCCCAGTGCTATACCTGAGGAAGTGTAAGTTGTTCTCTTCCCCAACGGCACACAGACCCCAGAGATCCATCATTAAACTAGCAACAGAGGCAAACACAGATCAGGGACCATTTGCTAAAGGAGGAATAGAGATCAAGATGGACCCCGTTCTGTGACCTTGAGAAAATCCCTTAACCATTCCAAGACTAGGATTTAAAAAATGTTTTTAACATTTCTGATTAATGCTGTCTAGTAAATATCTAAAAATATCCTTTCTTTGGCTCATATTTACACCATGATATTTTCTTCCAATTTGGTTCAAAGGGCTTCAAACATTGGTAGAAAATCTTTTAACAAAAGACCACTTGTCCATCTTCCATGTTCCTGATCAGTCCATGGCACTGTCATAAACTGTGTACTTCCTCCTCTGGTGCTGGGCCATGTCACACACCCAAGAGTCAGCAGTGGGCTCTGTGTGAGCCCAAGATGACTGACATATAAGTGGTTCCAACACAGGTTTTTTAGGACAGCTGCAGTTCACATTTCCTTTGATGAAACTAGGATAACTAAAGGTGACCTGGCTTTTGTATCTTCAAGTGGATTTTCACATAAATACATTTTTTGTTGTTAGACCACATCTCAATTTTTAGAGGTGGGGCTTGGAAAACAGACACCATTCTAAAACACCAAGCACCGTCACTGCCTGGAAACTTTCCAGTGCATCTAGCTGGGCAGTTCTGTCTGGTTTCTAGAACAGTATTGTTGTTGGGTAGCTTGTTTCTATAAAAAGTGGCTCACCAACTAAATGTCACTGGGTTCGGGTTGCTTGCCTCTCTTTCTGGAGTTAGATTCCAGGTTCTTGTCTTGAACAAAGAATTGGATGAAATGAGCAAAAAGCAGTGGCAAAGTTTATTTGAGAAAGTAAAAGTGAAGAGTGGGAGAGAAATTGGCTCTGCAGAGTGAATAAAAAGAAGCTAAGAGCAAAGGTAAAAGCGCACACTGTGTCTGAAAAACACAACATTGGCTATCATAGAAAGTTATGATAGCACCAGCTCTTTAGGGCTGCCTTTTATATTGGCCAAGTCTTGAGGAAACCCATGAGAACTTTCACATCCGGATCCTGAGAGGTGGTGCTGAGATCCCACACGTCAGGCTGACATCAAGTCTAGGCCATCCTATTGAAAACCTGTTCCAGTTCTCTGGAGAAGTCCATGTGCAGGGACTTGGGAACTGTTCTAAGTGTCTGGGATCTTGCAGTGAACAAGTCACACCTCTCCAGCCAGCTTTTGCCATGCCATATTCTATCTCAGCATAGAAAATGAACCTGAAAAAGAAGTCAGGCCAAAGTGACCTACTATAAAGTCTAGGAGTGGACACATGTATCTCACTATAATATTCTTTCCACTTTCCTTTAAAATGTTGAAAATCATTGACTGCTTGCTGCCAGCTGGCAGCACAGAGGTGAGATAAACCCAGGCTTTGGCGTGGGACAGCTGTGGAGAGGGGAGCAGGCAGCCGCCAGCTCCGCCTAGAGTCCTGCCCTCTTCCCTTACTTCAGGAGTGACGAGATTAATGTTGGATGGATGAGCTCCTGTGCACTCCATGGGTCTCGGCCAGCCTCCACCGCACACTCCACATCCCTTAGCTTGCTACTGCTGACATCAAGGACAGGGATCCTAATTTTTATCACCAGACTAGTTTTTTTTTTGTTTTGTTGAGACAAAGTCTACTTGGTTTGGGCTGACTCTGAACTATGCAGCTCAGGTTGGCCTCAAACTTGCAAGGATTTTCCTGCCTGAGCCTCTCAGTACTAGGATGATAGGTGTGTTGAGTATGGCTTTGTAAATGGCTGAGGTGTTTATTCTCATTTATCTCAATAAAAATGATTGGGAAACATGAATCTTTGTTGGGTTTGTTTTCATGATGCCGGGGACAGAACCCAGTACTTTTTGCATGCTCAACATGCACTGTACCCCAGCCCTGGCACTTGTTTTTAATCAATATTTTTCTTCTTGGTGGTCTGCCTCCCTTCTCTCCTGAGCACGGACAGGCTCCATCTGGAGACCAACAGTCCTTTCCATCCCGCATCTATTCTGAGATGTTATCCCAGTTGATGTTTTTTTCTAAACTTGGATTCTTCTTTTTGACTACTTGTATTGGTCTCATTACCTAGGGCTCATGTCTTTTCAAACTCCCTATGCTGTCACCTCTGCACTCCTTGTCCCTGCACCTACTCCGGGACTGGCAGTCACTGTGCTGCCCACCAGGGACTGTGGGGAGCCCTTCTCTCCTCCTCCCTCCCAAGTGCCCCCACTTTAGGCCACACTGGTGGTTCCCTTGTGCATTTCCCAGCACTGATCACATGCACTGTGACTGTACTCAAACTTCTGAACCCATCATCACCCAGTGAACCTCCAAGGGCCAATTTTTTTTTTTTTTTGAGACAGTCCTGCTATAGTTCAGGCTGGCCTTGGACTCATGATGATCCTCCTGCCTCAGCCTCCTAAATACTGGGATTGCCACCATGGCCAGTAGAGGGGCCTGAGTCTTATTCACCACTGCCAGGCAGAGGCTGACACATGGAAATGTGCTCAGCAAACATCTAAACTTGTGTGCAATGAAAAAGCAATTGAAGAAACAACAAATGAAACAGGAAGGTGACGAAAGGTCCTATTGTACCTATTTTTAATAAACATTTATTGAAATATAATTAACCCCATACAGTACATTACAATTCCAGTGGATTTTCTTTGTATTGTTCTTGATCAGCCAATTTAAGAGTACCTTAGTTACTGAATTGAAAATTTACAAAAACTTAAGTTTATTCTAAAAAACTTTAAAAGAATTTCTATTATTGTAAGAACACAAAATTTGATTTGTAGCCAAAGAAGAATTAGACATTTAAATTTAAAAGATATAAACTTGCCAAAGGAATAAAATTTAGAACTTTCATTTGTGTGAAACACAAGTGCTCCCCTGGGGCTGTCTACAACGTACAATTCTTCACTGGGTGCAAGCATTAATGCTCGTGGTCATGCTGTGTGTGTGTGTGAATGATCTGGCTATTTCTGGGGTTGGGGCAAGGGATTAGGTTTCCATTCCAAGCCATTGCCTTCTTTTCCAGGAAGCATTCCCAAGTCTTTGTTTCACTTTCCTTAACAGAACAAAGCACTTGGTTTCTATGACACATCTTCTCTTTCAGATGCTGATGGTCACGCCGAAGAGCGGAGAATAAGACTGTGGATGACAAGGAGGGTCTTGAGAAAGGCACCTTCTGCTGAAGATCAAGTGGAAATGCTCCCCAAGCTGGCCCTGGCAATGGGAGACACAGGGACCTGAGGCACAAACTTTCTAAGAGCCACACTTTCAGCCAGTCTTTTTGTTTGTTTGAGACAGGGTCTTACTATGTAGTCCAGGCTGGCCTCACCACTCATGGTGATCCTCCTGCCGAAGTGCAGTCTCCCAAGTACGAGAATTTTAGCCACGCACCACCACGCCCAGCCTTAGACAGTTTTAATGATAGAGGCAAGTATAAAACACCAGTTAACATAAAGTAGGACAACGGGTTTGAAGTGCTTATTAAAGATACATGAGCTTATCTCCCTAACTAAATTACAACGGCCAACAGGAAGAAGCACTTAAGAAGGAAATGAAATGGCCAGCCCTGAGACAGTCTAGGATGATGTTGGGGCCACAGCCACCATGTTGTTGCCTAGACGGGTGGCTGGAGGACTGGGCATGGCACAGCACAGTGTGGGACGGAACCCCTTCATGGAGAAGGGGTACTTGGGCATTCTGGAGAGAAGACCTGCGGTGGTAGGTAGAGTGGGCAGCACACACCTTGCGGGGAGCAGTGAGGGCCAGTGTCTCGGAGAAAAGTAAAGGCTAATGCCCAGAGCAGCAGTGAGAAGTGACTGGGGGTACTTCACGAGGATGTGAGTGGTATCAGTGTGGGGAGATGGCAGGCAGGGGATGCTATATCTGTAGGCAGGAGACGAGGAGTGTGGGCTGCAGCCTGAGGGAAAGAGGTGAGGGAATCTCGAAGGGAAGTTATCAGCAAGGGTTGCTTAGGGGACAGCAGGAACACTGAGCTCAGTTTTAGACCTGCTGACCTCTGGTCACAGCAGGAGTCTCCTGGGGCCCTGCAGGGGCAGTGGATGGGGCCAGCGGCCTGGCCAAAGCAGATGGAGGTCTGAGGTCCAGGAGGGTGTGCGCAGCAGGGTGCACAGGAGCAGCAAGGCCGAGGACAGAGCCCCAGCACAGGCAGGACAAGACCAGATAGAAGGGGATGGGCGGCTCGTTCTGGTGGAGCACAGGGAGGAAGGGAACTCTGAAAGCAGCTGGCAACTGGTTTTCCTGTTTTAGAACTGCAGACTCAGGACACTCTGGCAGGAAGCACATTACATAGAAAGAAGTGGTGAAGAAATGGAGGAAGGTGGCCCAGAATAAAGAGCAAGGTATGTGCATTGGGAATAGGCAGGGCCCAGTGGAGGAACAGGATTAAGTGGAGCAGGTGCATCTCTGAAGACCCAAAGACAGTGAAGTGGCACAGAGGGAGAGGGAGGCAATAGGAGTATAGTGTGGCACTGCACAAGCAGCCAGAAGGCACAGTGACTCTGCTGTCCCTGAGGTAAGTCGTGGACAGAGCATGTTCTCCCTGCACCCACTCTTCTTTTTATTGGTACATTTTATTGGTACATTTTAGGTATACAATTCGTTTACATTTATCATTGGGTGTTTGTACCTGTACATGATATATCTTGGTTCTTATGTTTTCCCCATTCCCTGTGCGCCTTTCACCCCCCTCCAC